AGAACCTAGCCTGACGTCACAGGCCGTTTTCCCACCTGGTGGCCGGTTTGGCAGAATGAATGATTTTCAACATTCATAGACCCAACATCAAGACGTGTTTTAAATATCACAGAGGCAACCAAAAAATATACGAATGCTTTCGTTATTTACGTGTTGATACTAGCTTCAAATAATTGTAAAAATTTGACAGTTTAGAGATATCACTAAAGAAGGCCTTTAAAAGTGTGCTAGTATAGTCAGCCTCTCTGAAGTGATCGCTGCAGACTTTACGAAGGCATTTTAACTTGGTTATATCGCTATGACGATACGATCGGCTATTCGTGATTCCTATATCTTTCCAACTGACCGGTTGATTGCGCAATCGTTGTAACACCTCTAACTCCCGCTGCGCCACCTGCTGACAAAGCTAGCGGCTAACCCCATTGTAATGACGTACTGCCCTCTAGCTGCACGGGTTCGTTCTGTATCGTTATGTACCTTCGTAACTGTACAAAGGCCAAACATGTAGCCGGCCTGCATGCCAATCTGCTAGCTAGCTATCGCGTTCAACATCGTCGACGACGACGCGTCCCTGCAGAAAATAGTATGAGGGAGGCACGACTCACCGAATTATCAGTCCGATCCCGGATTTGGTTTCGGTCAACGATAACTCAGGAACCGTTTGACCCACATGTTTAAGATTGGGTGTAGTTGTTACTGCTATGCTCCCATATGGAACGTCCTATTTTGGAGCACGCCAGTCGGCGTACTTTCGAGCCACGGCGATTTTTTGGGAAAAATGGAAATTTCCATTAGTCAGTTCAGGTTGATCGGACTTTGCTCATTTTTTGATATTTAAAAAAAAATTATGCAAATTAGGTAGGTTTATGCAATTTATGCAAAAACGCAGATAACAAACAGTCTGTGGTGTCACACTCGTCTGGTTCGTTTTACAAGATTTCATTGACAATATCTTTAATGCAATATTGGTATTTCCTCTCCAGCCTGCCGATAAAATGTCTATATTATAGTAAAGTTTTACAAAACATGTCGGAACACAGCATAGTCTATTTATTTCGAATGCCATTGCTACAAAGCAGGTATAGCGCCATCTACCGTCACAAATTGTGATTCATTTTGGTTTATAAATTATTATTGCGATATACAGATGGCAACCGTGTGCTACCGCCTAGAAAAACTCATACGAAGTAAACACTTCCATGCAACCAATTAACCTTTGACAAAAGTTGTGTTATGGGCAGGGAAACACCATTGTCACGTGGTACATAGCAGCTACGTGGAATAAGCGTATCCTCTCAATCTTACACGTTACACATCAGGAGCTCCACTTTTATAGGCAGTTCATAAATCTGAATATTATAAAAACGTTATTTGTGGTGAGCTACAGTGTCATTGACACTTTCATTGGTATGTGAATGAATAAGGACTGGCCCCCAAAACATATTACAGGGGTTTCGATATTTTATAAAAATTATGCAAATTAGGTAGATTTTGCCAATTTCACTATGCATTTCAGTGTCTGCCTACGGTCAATGATAACTCAAGAACTGTTTGACCCACATGTTTCAAATTGCATACAGTTGTTACTCCTATGGGAGGGATTTGAACGTCCTATTTTTGGAGCACGCCAGTCGACCTACTTTTGAGCCACGCTCACCTTTTGGCAAAAATGAAAATGGCTATCTAGATTCATTCAATTTTGTTAAATTTACCTACCTACATACCTAATCATACCTACGTGTAATATTGTGTTTTAGATTCTTCGTTACAGTAATTTGACTGAAATATTTTATTGCTTTTATTTGCGCGATAATCGAAAACCAAAATGGCGATCATTTAGTCGTAGCGCTATCTCTCGGCCAGATTTCAGACTTTCAGATCTGAAACATTAATTTTCGCATAAAACCTAACCCTGCGTAGGAAACAGGGAATAAGGACATTTGATCACATTTTGGTCCGTCATGAATGAAACACTTGCCAAATTATAAATATCATCTCCCTCTTCTATCACACACAATGTGAGCTATAAACTAGTGTCATTGACACTTTCATTGGTATATGAATGAATAAAGACTGACCCCAAAACATATCACACGCGTTTTGATATTTAAAAACAAAACAAATTATTGGATCGCATAGTATAGTCTAAAGAGCTCACTACGGTCGCTATAATGGGAGATATGCTATATAATGGGAGTTCTCTTATATATACTCTTGTTTTATATAATGTAGTACTAGGTGGATAGTGGTGGTGAGCTATGGTGTCATTGATACTTATTGTATATTTAGATACACGCTGCTACAATATATTGGATATTGCATGTATATATATATATATATTTAGATTTACGAGTTTATCTTTCTGCTGTCGTTCGACAGGGTGATTTCCTCGATATGATCGATATGTTGATAAATCTATACGCAAAAACTCAGTCTTCAAAATGCTGTCAAAGCAATACGTCAGTGCCTCTGCAGCTGCCTCCTGTAATTCTTGCTTGCGACGGCTGTCGATCGGATCAATACGTCAGCGTGCGGTTCGTTATAGCCTCAGATGTGCATCAGCGTTTTTCTGTGTCGTTATTATTCCTGCTTCTTCCATAGGCAGGTCGTACAAATGCGAATGTTCTGTTTTATATATATATATATATGTGCGTTCTCTGCCGCATCATATCACTGTTCGTATGCATTTCCATGTGCAATGCCCGTATGGCGAAACTCTGCACAACGAATGTCACCATCATTGTTTAATCTGCCAAGCATCTCAATGTTCATTTTTTCTTTCTTCCTCTTCCTCTTGCGTTGTGTTTACTCAATTTTCGGCGCGTGCCTCATACACGGTAGATTCGTCTTCTTCTTCTTTATCATCATCTTGCGTTGTTTTGCAAAGGAATACTCAGTTCTTTTGGTCAAACGACACCAAATGTAGCCCTGGTATTTCGTCGTTACTTTAACTCGTCGGTCGGTGATCGTAGACAGTGATGGTCGAAGAGATTGTGTATATTATATATGATGTAGACGTCTTTATTTGAATACATATGTTGCAACGTACATGCGTGGGTCGGCTTAGCCAGTGCCACACTCGACTCCTCTCGAATCTTCTCATCTCTCCCTTTTTTAAGCATATGATCTCATTATGCCATCCGTCCCAGATCAATATAACCAATGAGCATCCCGCTTGCCGTATTGATTCTGTATAATTCTGCTGCCCAGATGTAATGTATTAGACACGTCTGCTTGCTAGGCGTCCTGCATAATTAATGAGCTCGTGTAGTGTTAGCTCGCGCGCAGAAACACTACACGTCACCACACTCTACCTCGGATCAAATTTCTGGATTAATGAGAACATTTCGTCATGTTTTCATACTGGAAGTATGCTCACATTAGGTGTTTTTAAGCATTTTCTTGCGAGAATCAGCTGCTTTAAAAAGATAGACTAAAAGTAAAAAATACCATTTAAAAGCAAGTAAAATATCAAAGGTACGAATACTTCGAAATGGCTGCTGTTGTCGTAGCGCGCAGTGCATGTTGGAATGGCTCGCAGCACATTCTGGAATAGTGCGCGCTAATGACATCACCAGTTGAGCATAATATTCATAGTAACTTGGCGCATTTTCTCCAGGACCTTACTTACGTACGCAGTTGTAAAATATGGTTTGCAGGTGTCACCAGTCAGCTACTAGTACTACATAAATGGGGGAATCTGTCTGTCAATCTGTCCGTCTATCTTCTCGAGACTTCTAACAGGTGACCCCCAACACCATGTATATTCTGAATCAGCATGACGCGACGACCATTTTAAGCCAAAAAAATTTGCAAATTAAGTCAACAAAATATGCACACACAAAAAACGAGGGTGTATGTACGTTAACTATCTATGGTGTCATGTGCCAACGGGTGCTATAGTTATTTATTAAATCTTACCGTTTGTTTAATTTTTTGTCAAATGTTCTCATGTTCTCATTATGATTCCTATGTTTATTATGTAATTAATTTATGTCTTTCTTCCATAGCACGAGACAGGCATACAAGAAATAAAATTAATTCAATCCAATGCATAAAATGTCATTGGACGGTGGCGCCCTCGCGAATGAGCAGTACATTTTGGAACGAGTTTGGAGTGAGCATCCATAAATTGCTTAGTGACAAACATGTAAACAAACATCGGTCAAATTAATTTGGCATGTTATGCTAATGAGTAATGTGTTCATTCACAATCGTTAATATTAACTGTAATAGTGTTATGTACAAAGTGTAGCACGGCATTACGTTTATTGACGCTGGTCATTTCAGTTATTTTCCATGTTAGGCTAATCTGTTCCTTCACATTCGCTAATAGTAGTATTAATAATAATATTATCTGCATCACCATTGTATACAAAGTCTTAGAGACTGTGTAGATCACGTCATTACGTTTATTGACGCTGGTCATTTTAGTTATTTAGCATGTTAGGCTAATGTGTTCATTCACATTCGCTAATATTATCTGTATCAGCATTAACCTCCTACATAAATGGCCGGATTCGTCTGTCGGTCTGTCTATCTGTCTGTCTAATAAGGGGAAAAGAGAAAATGGAAAGAGGAGGGGGGAGGGGAAGGGGAAAAAGGGAATGGGAAGGAGAGGGATGGATGTACAGCCGTGATGGCAGACTAAATTCTAGCTTTTTTTCTCCTTTATCCCATGCATCGCCGGGTAGCCCAGCTAGTTATTTAATCTACATGAATTGAGATACATTAAAAAGGGTTGCAGGATGCTGTGAGGAGCTCAGAGTTCAAGCAGGTCAGAGATGCGGGATTGCTTGGTGTGCGTAAGAACATTATGTATACAGTGATTTGGTGTTAGTGTTTGTTTACACGGCTAGTTAATCCTACTTTGGTAGAAATAACAGTCAACATCCCTACACAGTACGGATGCCACTTAAGCACCAAGCCCCGGAGAGACCATGAGATAGTTTTACAGCAATGTTTGTGGGCGAGGTGCACAGTTGCTTTTGTAATTATTTAGGGGAAGCGTCCACCTTGTGTCCTGGTATCAGGAGATCAGACCGGTTACTCGTGTGTCAGGATCGCTGACCGGTTTCATCATAACAGCAGGTATATAATCACACCATTGACGTTTGTGACATCAGTCTAATACGAGAACACCACACGGACGTTCAGTGACTTCATTGGGTAAACGGATGTTTCTTATATTAATTCAGTGTATTTAGTTTCGTGATATATTATGTGCTTGACCTTACAGTCGTTAAATGGCGCATGATGTTTAGATGATATAAATTCGATATTCAGAATAAACAGTTAAATTGCAAACATAAACAGGGCGCATTTTTGTTCTACATCAATACGCAGCGTTCAATGCATTTATTTGTATTATCTTTACTAATTTGTAGGAGAGCCTATATAGGACGTGAATTCTACAAGTGAGACAAGGCAGTCTACAAAGCAAAACACGTCGTAACTTTACCGCCAGACAGGATATACACCTGACGTGTGGGACCAGTACGTGGCAGCTTTCCCTGAAGCACGATGGAGTACGTGAGAATTAATTCCGGGGAAAATCCATATGAGTGCGAACTGTGTGATGCTGCCTTCTCTTGTCTAAGTCGTGTGAAGTTACACATGAAAAGTCATACGGGAGAGAAGCCATATAAGTGCGATCTGTGTGATGCCGCCTTCTCAGATTTGGGTAATCTGAAAAAGCACATGATCACTCACACAGGGGAGAAACCGTATAAGTGCAATCTTTGTGATGGTGCCTTTGCACAATCGGCAAAACTGAAGACACACATGAGAACTCACACGGGAGAGAAACCATATAAGTGCGATCTGTGTGATGTCGCCTTCTCTCAATTGGGTGATGTGAAGAAACACATCCAAACTCACACGGGAGAGAAACCATATAAGTGCGATCTGTGTGATGCTGCATTCTCTCAATTGGGTGATGTGAAGAAACACATCCAAACTCACACGGGAGAGAAACCATATAAGTGCGATCTGTGTGATGCTGCATTCTCTCAATTGGGTGATGTGAAGAAACACATC